CGCCCTAGCATTGAATACTGTGGAGCAAAAACCGCTTGCGGGGTCCAGTATCTCTGTCACCGGCAAATTTCACATAAAGCGCGATTACTGACGAATACTAATCCTAACACATTCTCGAGAATCACACCCATTTATTGAATACGGCTCGTCAAAGTTCCTCGCAGAGTAGTTAAATTTTCCTCGTAGAGTTCACGAGGGAAAGATAGCCCATTGGAATTCAAGATAGGTAGAGTGCAGGGATGATGAAAAACCATGAGAACGGCTCAGAACCGCGAGCAGGACCCTTTTCTTTGCCCTTGATTTCCGCATTGATGCGACTCTCATCGGTGCTGCCCTCTTCAACGCTAACGCTCTCTCTGCTAAGCGGCTAGAGTCAGACGGGGAGGGGTGGGCAGACAACGGCGCGAGCGGCGCGGACGGCGCGGTAATGATCCTGCTAGGCAGCTTGGGCATACTCTTCGCTGCGAAACGCGCATCGTCGGAGGTCCGCCTCCTTTTCGACTACGTATATTTCGTGTTCCAACCTTCCACCTTATCTCGTGGAATCCTACTTCAGAAGAGGAATTCACGATAAGAACGAAGGTCAAAGAAGGGGAAAATTGCATAGTTGGGAGACAGGCGGACCTCCTGAGGGTGCTGACCGACGCGCAATTGGCGGCGATCTAGCATGGCTCACTCTTGGCGCGGTTGGCGGGGTACGCCCACCGACTATCTAATCACTCGCCGCAGGTCTACGTGGCGAGTGATTAGATAGCAGAGAGAGCGTAGTGTTGAAGAGGGCACAGCGATGAGAGTCGCATCAATGCGCAAATCAACGGGCAAGGAAGGGGTCCCATTTCTCGGGTTTTGGGCCGTTTCAAATGGTTTCTTCTTCATCCCTGCTCCACTGACCCTTATTTCCAATGTGCTAACTTTCCATCGTGGATCATGCCTTTAAGGCAGCCTGTCGCATATGCCAACATTCCGTGTGGCATTGGGTACAGTCCTGGCGCCATGAGTAATCCAAATTGCGTGGTGCAATGTTTTACGGATCGAACCATACAAGTGGACCAAGGAGTTCTAAGCCGGCTGCCACCGCGTTTCAATGGCCACGCGCGAAATTCAGCAGGATTGCGCGGTCAGAAAATTACCTGAACCTAATGCCCATACTCACCTAACCGACCCCAAACATACTCAATGTTCTTTACCGCATGAACGATTTACAGATATATGTGCCGAAAATATTTGATGAATGCTCTATGGATAACGACGTGGCAATACTGGAAATGAATAAAAACGTGCGGGAGTACATGGCGACGCCGGTTTGTACCCCTCGCCCATCCACCGTAGTCCACAAGCAACTCAGAACAGCTGGAAACGGAGCAATAAGACGTACGTTCAAGTCGCACTTCACGATCAGATAATTGTAAGGCAGTGCGTTCCAAAAAGAAAGAAGTAGCAGATTTTGGTACATCCTTTCTTAGAGGAAGCAAAGCACCACGAACAATCTTAAAGTCATACTACGCGACGATCTTGTGCGCGTGGCTTGGATTCCGCCCCTATAAGTGTCTCATTGGTCGTGCCTCGCCCTTTATATCGTAGGATACAATAAAATGTGCAAAAAGGTGGAAGAAACCAATGAACTTTCTTAGAGGCGGAGCCCAGATTTCGTCCATTTGGTAAGCTCGCAGAGTAACTTCGAGACCATAAGCAACATTTATTTTCCTTCATTACTGGTAATCCAATTATACTCCTGCTCTAATTTTCGAGCGCGAAACACAATTATTCTCTCGCGAAAGGTCTCTTTAGTTCAGTCAAATACAATTTTTTTAAGCTGACGAAACAGCTCCGATCGATGGCCAACAAGTGGTAGACGTTAAATTAGTGGCTATATCGAAACGTAACAGGATTGTGACCACAGCTGTGGATGGTGTGGGAGTATGCAGCGTAAGTCTTACGAAATGAGAACGCCCTGACTTGAGTGGATGACACTGGATGCGTTTCAGGGCGACAGCGGAGGTCCACTCTTTCAAAAGGGACGTGATCGAAGGAACACTGTTGTAGGAGTAATGTCAAGCGGTAACACCTGTGATTTAAGTGAGTTTATTTTTGTAAGTGATCTACGGCAGTGTGGACGCGTACCGCACCGCGTCATCTCTGAGATCAGATCTTGTCCAGGTCAGCAAAATCCTTAACCTTTTTGAAAGGAGCAAATCAGGGTTTTTTGTAGAAAGACGGCCCACTTGAAGGTAGAGGTGATCAGCAGACCAGAGATAAAGAAAACAATGGCATAGAGCCCGAGAATTAAGACCTCTCCTTTGCCCTTTCATTTTCGCATAGATGTGACTCCCATCGCTGCTGCTTTCAACGCTGATGCTCTTTTTGTTAAATGGATAGAGTCAGACGGCGAGAGGGAGGGCGGGCAGTGGCCTAAGCGGCGCGTAGATGGCCATGCTAGATCACCGGGGCATATCATTCGCTGGGATTTGCGTGTTCCTCTGAATGGTTTACCTGTCTCTCTTTTAGATAGGTGTTCCTTTCATCAGCTTCCAATCTGAATTGTGGAAGCCTTCCCTAGGTCAATCCACACAACAAGATCGCCAGGAGTCTAACAGACGAAGTGCGCATAGTGGGTGTGAAATTCTCAAAGGAAGGTTTGAAGATTGCTTCATTCATAGAAGGCTTGAGCGTGCTTAAAAATTGATATAATCCAATTGCATTCCCTAACAATCGTTCTAATTTAACGGGTATTGAAGACACGCTTTGGGATTAGGCACGCTCACCTGCTCCATACCTGTCGTGACTCTCGTCACGACCTTTTCCATACAGGATATGCGCGATAGTTTACCGTGCTCCATTCACATTCTCACGCCATGGAGGACGAGAGACTATGCCTTCTCACGGACGCAGACGCTTTCCCATGATTCAAACGCATGCCGCAGCCAGAAGTGCGGGAAGCTCTCTGCATCCTGCTCGATTCGCGCCCGTCTGCCAGTCAGTCGTCGTCCTGTCGCCTCGCCGAGTGGTTGCGTCTACGAAGTCCTCAGCCTCGGTTGGAGCCGGTCGTCATGTCACCATCATCGTCAGCTCAAGGATCGGTCAGCATGCCGCTTATAATACCGGTGTAGGTCTCCTTTTATCATCAATCATATCCCTCTGGTAGTCACGTAGTATATTGTAGTGTTAGTCATAAATGTCACTAATATGTAGTGTTCTGTTATGTATAATAGCAAAATGTACTCATTATTGATGTAACACAACTAGCTCGTGAAACTCGTCCAACACGCCCCTTCTATATCCCAAGAAGTTCTCTACGGTTGGGGCGTAATCGGGCCTTTCTTTGCGTTCTTCCTCTTTTCCAGACAACTCCCCACCTCTAGTTTCATTAGTGAACGCTCTTCCTCACCTATTTTATCCCTAACTCGCCTTTAAGTGTCGTGGATGGTGACACCTTTTCTTCTACCCTGATTGCTTCGAGCAGAAAGTTCTCAAGTGCGTCACATCACCTAAAATCTGCGCAGCATTAGTTATTTCCCTTGTGATGGTGATAGTCATTAGGTGTCAAAGAATATAGTCCGAGCTTTTGGTTTCGAATTCAAGGGCACAGGACTTGATCGAACTGATGTGTTAAGTCGTTTGAAAACGAGGCGGCGGGTGCGAGCGAAGAGTATCGTTAGCAGGGAAGAGAGCACAAAACACCATAGAAAACACCGGACTTCCTCTTGAAAGAACCAAAGCGATGCGAGAGAAAGGCACAGGGCTGCGAGTAAAGGAAAGCAAGACCACGCGAGAGGTACGCCGTACGAAGAGCGCAGACGATACGCATATTGCGAATAACCGCAACGGGGGCAGCGGTCAAGCGAAGACATCAGATTCCTTTTCGCGAGTTTTCGAGTTGCGACAATATTGTCGTCAGATCAGAAGTCGTGACACCTCACTCAAGGAGAGATTCTATGAGCAACTAATCACGGCCTGGCCCTTTAAGACTGACTAGCGTGACGAAGGTGGCGTACTTCCTCGAGGTAGCATACCTACATATGCATATCGAATGCCACGAAAGTTCGTTTGAATTTTGAACTGTTTCGCTTCGAATTTATTTCAACAACGCATTATTATAATAGTTGTCAATGTGCAATGTCTCTACAAAAGAGTTATCGGTTGTAATCAACGAGCAAAGAGTGGCTGCACGGCTCCGAGCTTAGAAAAGACTCTTTTGACGATGACAATCACATTTAAATTACAAAATGGCATCAGAGCAGATGGCAGTTGAAAAAGGCTCGTCTGTTGTGGGGTTCCGTAGAGTTTCGACTTCTAGGCCTTGAGACCTCAAAAAGTGTTTTATCGCTTTGTCATAATACTAATTTTCTGTTTTTCCAGACTACAAGGTAGGTAGGAAGGAAAAATTGAAAATTTTTCCTACTGATAACCATACTGATATACGGAAGTTCGCTAGCTGGATCTGTGACGTTTCAGGTGATGTTAAATATTATTATGAACTAAATTTAAAACAATAGCTGAACAATATCCAACAAAGGCATAATATTACCACGGCGGATCCAAGTCTTTTCTATTCCTAATATGATTGTTTTCAGGGGTGTGTCGATAAGTTGAAACAATGCTCTTTGCCTCGTCACATGGGAAAACAGGATGAAATATAATAGATTGCTGACTATTGAACTTAGTCACCTACATGTCATCATAAAGGCAACTTAACAGCTTTTACATCACAAAATGTCTACTCTCTAGTTTTGCTCCGCTCGCTCACGCAGCACACGGTAGGCTTCGGCGAAACCGGAGGATGTGTAGAACATCTGCTGATCTACTCCACAAAGCAGCTCACTATTGGATATGTCTAGTGGAGTGACCTGAGGTTGGAGGATCTCCACTTTCATTGAAGTCCATCATGGATGCGCGTGAAAGCGAAGCTGAGCTGGTATATTTATCACAACTCTGTAAACACCCAGCATTTTTCTTGAATCCTGACAATTTAGCGGTGATAGGGTTTGCTGTTAGCCTTAGAATGAAAATGAAATATGCTCCTTATAAAAGTGAGCATCTAATGCTTATCTTTGCTTTACATTCACCCTCTTCGAAAGTTCTATTTTAGCGGTTTAATGAGTTCTGACTCTCTTGGTATTAGATCAGGAGTGAAATGTATCATTCGCCAAGAAGCTGCTCAAGTTAAACTGGTTATATCGAAACAATGTCTCCGTCCCACCCCTCAGAACACTTGTAAGTAAGACTAGATTCAATGTGAGCTGTGCAACGAAGTGGCGACTTTTGCTTCCTAAGGGGCCCTGACAGTATTTACAATTTTCGATCATCCTCCTTTACCGACAAACAATGTGCTCTTTCCATCCTACGTGTAACTTGTAAATAAAATCTCTACAGTGTCAGCGGGTGCTGCGTGGTGGAATTGGCGCAGTTTTAAGGCTATTTATCAGCTTATGAGTTGTTATCACTTTCAGTCACCCACCAACAATGTCCCCGTCCCACCCCACATAACACTTGTAAGTATGGTTGCTCTGGTGTCAACGCGAGCCAGGCAACGGAATCGACGACTTCAGCGTTCTGCGCGCCTTATCAGCCCTTATCAATTGTTATCACTTTCTGGCACCCACCAACAATGTCCCCGTCCCACCCCACATAACACTTGTAAGTATGGTTGCTCTGGTGTCAACGCGAGCAGGTAACGGAATCGACGACTTTTGCGTTCTGACGCGCCTTATCAGCCCTTATCAGTTGCAATCACTTCCAATCATCCACCAACAATGACCCTGTCCCACCCCTCATAACTTTTTATCCTCCCCTTCAAAAAGCGGGAAAGTGTCGAGTGCAGACCATGCACCACAAGTGACGACGAGATATGCTGTTTGGACGGAGCGAGCACCCGAAGTAAGGCGTGAATTATATTGTTCTGCTGTAGTCACGTACAATGCGCGACGCATTGACGCGTTGAAACGTGTGCTCGCCCTCGTTTTCTCTGCGCTCTCAACGAAGAGAGAACGCGTCGAGCAAACTCGCCAACTGTACTGAGCGCCGTTCATATAGGAGGTGGAGGAAGAAACACGCTCGCGGAGCGCTCAAGCATTTTTGGATGCGCTCAAGCATTTTTGGATTGCTGCCCTGGACCGCAGGGGTAGCCTCGTTGTTGGCATGACCTTCAGAATGGTTACCGCAGAAAGCGCGTCGATGCGAGCGCAATGTACGTGATTGCGGCAGGAACGTCGTAATTCACGCCTTACTTCGGGTGCTCGCTCCGTCCAAACGGCTTATCTCAGTGACGACGGCCTTTAAGTAAATCTTATAAGAAGTTGTTCATAGTGATAGCTGATTTCTGGTAAATGATAGTTGTAATTAGTGACAATCGATAGAATACAACTGCAACAGGCTAATCATTTCATTGGCAGAAAACATTAACATTTTGTGAAGGCCGTCGTCACTTGTGGTGCATGGTCTGCACCCGACACTTTCTCGCTTTTTGAAGGGAGGATATATGAACGCTCTAGTACTAATATACACGACAAAACGAAATTTGCTATACTACCTTCCTAGCCCCCTTATCAGCCGCTACTTGTTGACAGTGTTATCCACCTCATAATTAATGTGAACCTACTAGTACATTGGATGAAGCAGGATTCAAAGACTAAAATTATCATCTGAATCTCTTCATTGGAATGACACCTCTTTTCGTAGCAGGGTTTCAACACATGAAGAAGAAAGAGAGAAGAAAGTGTCGAATAATTGCACTATAGTCTCGCATGTTCAATGTCAGAAGATAAACCTAAGCTCTAGGAACCTATTAGGTTGTAGGGGACGGTCATATGGCGCGATTACACTGGCATTAGAGCTCACAGGCCGTAATTGCCCCATCCTGCTGTTACCGAACAACTCGTCCGCTCAACTCAATTACTATACTTCAGCAACCCCAAAGATCTAAAAAGAGCGGATAGCTCGTATTGGCCTAATGCCAAGGCAAGAGGAGTGAAATGGAATGTGGTGCGCGGAGAGTATGTAGTCTGGCCACGGAAGGATGTGGGAGTTACGGCCTGGGAATCTAATGCCAATGGGCTCGCGCCGTATGACGCACATCTGGTTGCTGTGAATGACATCGCACAGTTGTATTTCACGTCACTCGGCTGCGTTTTGATCTACGGAGGTACATGCGGGGACAGCCTAGCAGACAAAAAGCCACCTACAGCGAACCGTGCACTGACTCGGCAAGAAGTAATTTTAACATTATATAAAATGTTTACGCCGCGGTCGATGTTTTACCATTTAAAATTATCTAGCAAAAAGTGCAAGACTAGACTAGGTTGACTTTGACTGGTGTTTGACTTTTCGCTGAGCAGCTCCTGCCACATTCCATCTAAATGGTGCTTATCCGAGTCGACACAGTTCCATAAATGGGAAATAATCTTGAGACATCAAAAATTCCAATCCTGGGAGTCCAAGTTTCCACAGGTGTTCCAATTCTTCAAAAAGGACGTCGAATCTCTGTGCAGGAAATGGCAAAGGCTGATAAAGGTGCCGACCTGCTGCTATTCAGCAAATTTACCACTTTGACGACAGCGTGAAGCGCATGCGCTGCACACTTCGAGCACCGTGTGGGACCGTGTGCAGCATGCGCGTCACACCCGAGTTGTTTATTTTTTTCGCGCACTACTTTTCTGGTTTTTTGATTTACATTTAGATCACATCACAACGTGACCATAAACGGTGTGGTTGACTGAAAGGTTGAATATTCTTTACTTAGCAAAGTTTTTCCAACTTCTACAAGCTCTTCAGTTCGGTTCATTACTCATTTTCTTTGCATTCTATTAATAGCAAATATGAAAAAAGTAGCAGAAGAGACTACTCTACACGTATAGCAAGATACATGTTTCCAATAAAGCAACCGCGTCAAAAATAATTTCGAGGTCAATTACAGCGATAACAAACAAAACTTGATTTTTTATTGCCACTATACGTCATTTCGGTCAAACTTTCACACAATTGTACCTTCTGATAAGTATGACATATCGGAAATTCTTGGGATCTTTCTTATCCTTAAGATAAGTTTTCCTTGTTTACAGCTCAAAATTTACGGACTTGATGAGAGGTGCCGGCACCTGCAAATCCGCTCTGGTCCCACGCGGCGCAAAATCCCAAAATGCGCGTTGTCGTCAACGCGCATACCCAGAGGCGACATTTATTTGGCAACAACCTAATAATCAGATAACAATCTGTAAGAATTACAACACAACTTCACCAGCTGCATCTGACTTGTGAGACAATACAAATGAAAGAAAAAGTAAAAATCCAAGAAAAGCTTCTCACACGAAAAGAAGAAGCGTTTGCACACCAGCTCAGAAAAGAAGCCTTCAAGAGCAAACCTTGAGCTCAGGCACAACTGAGAGGTCCCTTGCGAAGAACTTGTTCTCAGGTCCGCACCCGTAGGGTTGCAACAACTCAGCAACTTACAACGCTTACAACTAACCATAATGCGCTGAGCGTTTACAATTTCGAAGGGCCACTGCCCGGTCATCCACACCCACCCACCGCTCAACATCTTATCCGCGTTGTATTGTTGACCAGCTGTGTTTTCTCGACCCAGAGCTCCGCCCTCCTCGCGAACCTGGCCCTTGCCTCTCTATATAAACCAAGGTTGAAGATAAAGCTAAACTCTACGGGAGGAAAAGAGAGATGGAGTAGTTCGGATCTCAAGCAAGCAGGCAGAACAGCTCTGAAATATGGAAGTAGACGACGATCACTGTGACAGAGTATATGAGAAACTCAGTAATGTTCGTGGTAATATAAATAAGTAATGCAAGAAAGGACGGAAAAATACATATCAAAAGTAATGATGATCCTCCTCTTTCTTCTCCAGGGAGGAGTATCTTCCAACAAAAATGTTACAGCAACCTTTTTGTTGTCCTGAAGTACCGGCTCGGCTAAGATGGAAGCACCCCAGTCCGGGAAAAAGGCTTTTTAGCCAATCATCCTCTTTGTTTTGGCGGTAATGGACAACACCATTTGAATAGAATAATTATTCGACTCACCTTAGACTTAGCCTTTCAATTTGTATTTTGTCTAGACTCGCATTCACATGCTAATATGATTCTGAATCGGAGCTGAAGGCTCACTATGGGAAAGTATCCATTGGCTAATTATGTCGTTGACGACGTATCATTCAACACATTCACGACGACGCCCCTTTTCCACTTTTCGGTCGCGTGGGACGGACGCGATTTTGGTGGGCGCCGCCGCCTACATGACCGCAGATTTTGTTTTGTAAATGAACAAAAACATGAATGTCACAAAATAATTTCTGCAGTGTCCAATAAAATATCTAAACATATAACAGTAGGATTTCGATCAGAACGACAAATAGTGGTTACGAAAAGAGAGCATTTATTCACTTTCCCCGTGAAGGGAATTTAAAAGCATTTTACACTCGATTACGAGGTTTGCCCACCTATCTGTCCATTCCTAGCGCCTGGCAAGCGAGTATCAGTTGGCAGCCCATATGGGCGGCCATTGGCGTGAATGTGTTTAAGCGTCAGTTACAACCGTATTGTTTGGACACACAATTCGTATCGAGGTGAAAGTTTATTCCAAGATGTACTTTTTGAAAACGAAAACTGTTCAGCATATTAAATGACTGTTTCGCAAAGAT